AGGACGAACCACACACGATTGAAGCTGCTGCCAGGACAAGAGTGTATCAAACGTAGAACTGACCGAAAGGCGTCCGTGAAGACCGCGACCTCGGGATGACGAAGTGAAGAAGATGTTGGAAAGACTGGGGGGGGGGAAATGCGGGTTTGTGCTGGAAGGAGGGGTGGGGAGGGCAGGGGGAGCAGTAAGGGGGTTGGGATTTGGGAGGGAAGGCGTGAATGAATGGCAGGAAGGGGAAGTGGGAGTGGGAGGGTGGCCAGTGGATGCGTGTGTGTATGTGTATGTTATATATCTTGCCGGGCCTGACGCTGGCCAAAGTTAGAGCTGTTGGCTTATGGTTTTACCAAAATTAAAATTAAACCATAAAATGTACCAACGGACTTTATTCAATAAATTCAATCACTTAGCTTGCTACTAACGTAGGCCGTTCGCCTACGTTATCCTACCTTGCGTTGCAAGATTTGTTTACAATTGTGGCTTGGTTGGGGTAGCTTTGTTCCAATGTTAAGTAACTATAGTAACATAGTTACTAATCAATATTTGTGGCGGTTACACAACTAAATTTAATTTTTTGAGTGCTTGAGCCGTATGCGTTGAAACACGCACGTACGGTTCTGTGTGTGTGTGTGTGTTTAATGATCTGAGCCGTGCTTAGGGATGAGGAAAAAGGTACGGAAAACACACTGGACCTGAAGCTATGCAAAGAAATGTTACGGAAGCCAAAGATAAGCGAAGAGCCCCTTGGTGCTGTGAGGCGTTGCGTCTGGGTGTTGGCGAGGTGGTGCTGGGGCGGGCAACAAGACGAAGGGGCGCGGGTATGCGGCCTAATGAAGGACAGGCAGGCAGGCAGGGCCTAGGGGTGGTGCCCCTCATGGGGGCTCCCCACAGCGGCATCGTGGGGCCCAAGGGTGTGTATTGGCATGACACACGGGGTCATAGGCGGGCATGGAGGGCGGCACAACGGCAGGTGGGAAGGGTAGGTGGGATGGGTGGGTGGGTAGTGTGCGTGTGTGTGTGTGTTGTATGTGCGTGCGTGGTTGAGTGCGTCGCGTAAGAATATGAGGCATTGCATGAGGCATTGAGTCCGTATGTGCGTCTGTACTTTCTTAGTGATCGTGGCTAATCGCTTGATACACATAGACATACACACGTACACACACACACTTCCATTACCGCTATATCGCTTTGGACTCCCGGTTAGGCAGTTCATGGCTGTGGACACGTCGACATCATCGTCACCATCACCATCTGATCCCCCCTTAAGTGTCTCCCTTCCCCTCCCCCCCCTGTCCTACAAATGT